AGGCATGCTGGGAAATGATGCAGCTGCAAGGCATGCTGGGAAATGATTCAGCTGCAAGGCATGCTGGGAAATACAGGATGTGGACAGACAGGACAGACCATAGATGATATATGTTTGATGTCTGTGGGACAGACAGTCCCATGTCTGGCACAAGACGGGGGGAGGAGGAGGAGGTGGAGGAGGAGGAGGAGATGGAGGTGGAGGAGGAGGAGGAGGACTCCTTCAGAGACGGAGCGTCTGCTGAAAATAAGTTTAAAATTCACCACGTTCATATTTCATGTTTGTGTTTTTATATCAGTCACAGAACAAACAAACAAAACAACGTTTAAAAAAAATCTAAATAAAGGTCTTTCGTAAACAAATTATCTGCAGCAGGTTTGTTTGTTTGTTTGTTTGTTTTGTGCTCAAACCGTCTCTGAGCAGAAACTTTGATTAGAAACAAGAGGCCTTTCTTCCTCACGGTTTGTTCCTGCAGAGAAAATGTTTTTAAATCTGATGTTTGATTCAATAAAACTTTATTTATATATATTTTTTAAACACAACTAAATTAAAGCCAGTCATAAAATGATGGAAGTCCCGTTTAAAATTGACAATATTGAAATTCATAGTTAATGAAATAAAATTGAAATTCATAGTTAATGAAATAAAATGTTCGGTGTGGTTATTGATGAGAAGCTGATGGACATGTCATGTATTACTTCACAATAAAAGCGTCTGAATCAGTTGCATGATGTGTAAAGTAAAATAGTTTTTGAACGACGAAGCTTTGTGTGTTTTGTATAATGTAATAATTGTTCATATTTAATCTGTTGTAATGAAGTTTGGGGACAAACATGAAAACAATTACAAATCCTGTTTTTATTTGACAAAAAGAGCTATAAGAATTATTAGTAGGAAGTGCTGTGGTCGCCAACAAATAAATGATTTCATCAGTTGAGATTATTTTAAACATTTTATGATTTGGCTGAATATTTTACAAGTTGTGTATGAAGCTCATAAAACAAATGTTCAATAAAAACGTGTTAAAGAGTCGTCATGACCTTAAGAAAAGGTCCGTGTAGAACTGAAGGAGCTGAGCTGTGGTTCTGGGAACACGATGGGAACTGACGTCATGTCAACACAAACATTTATAAACGTTTATAAACATTTATAAACATTTATATGTTTAAAACGATTAAATTCAAACTGTTGGGGAGTGACGGTGCAGGATGCTTTTGTTTTAAACCAGAACATCGTTCAGTCGTAGCTCGTTGTTCTTATTTTGTATTTTTTAATAAAAGATTTTATAATAATTGTTTCCTTCTTTCTGCACACTTTTCTTTCGACGTTTTCTTTTTGATGAATTTGTTTTGTTTTAAATAATTAATAAACGAACAATAAAAACAAAATCCAGTTATAAAAGCTGCAGAAAATCAAACGGGAACTTTAGATAAAACGTTAACGATCTGATAAAAGTTAATAAAATGAACTCTTGTGTTCAGCGGAGGGAACGAGGCCCAGAGCCCGTTTCACGGTTCTGGAGCTGCTGCAGCAGAACCACCATGGCCCTCAGAGTCTGGGTCCAGGACTGGGGGTCCTCGGGACCTGCTGGTCTGCTCCGGGAGAGGCGGCGTGATTTTAAGATTTCAAACCTAAAGCGAAACGTGCGCGTTGGGTCCACTGGAGGACGGATCACACGTCTGCCGTGCAGCCGGTTGAGCCGGAGCAGAGACTTGAAGCTGCCTCCACTGCTGCTGTTGGATGAACTGGGCCCTTGAGGACATCTTTTCATTCCACCTCGTGCACCACGTGTGATGAGAGTGACAAAAAACTTGACTTGAACTCAACATCAAATCTTTTAAACCCGCTCAGGGTCCAGGCAGAGCTCCGGGTCCAGATCCTTCACGCTCGGCTGTTCTGGACTGAGCAGCCGTTTAGTGTTTAGCAGCAAAACCAGGATTTTTAAATTCTCTCGTGTGTTTTAAGACCCGGCAGTCAAAACTACAATAAAACAACAACAACAACAAACAAACAACAAGAATTTGGCGTAAAGCACAGAAGCTTCTGCTCGTCTGTTGAAGCGGATTATTTATTAAATGTCACAGATTTCAGGCGACACAGTGGATCAGTTGTTACAGCTGCCTGTTCTCAGCGAGATGGCCGCTGGATCAAATCCCAGCTGGAGGTCTTTCTGGGTCCTCCAGTTTCCTCCCACAGACCAAAAACGTGCATGTTAGACTGATTGGTAATGGACTGGAGACGTGTCCAGGTGTCCCTGTGATGGACTGGAGACCTGTCCAGGTGTCCCTGTGATGGACTGGAGACCTGTCCAGGTGTCCGCCGCCCTCACACAGTGACAGCTGGACATGAGCACCAGTGACCAGAAAAGGTAGAAGATTGTTAAAGATAATGGATGGATGTATTTTGGGCGGTGGGAACAAACTGACAACATTTATCTGTTTGGCTTGTTTTCATTCATTCTCTGAATATTTGTCATACTTCTACAACCTCTGACCCACTCAATGCTCCTCACTTCAACCTCTGACCCACTCCATGTTGCTCACTTCTACAAC